TGATTTTAGGTAAATTTGTTTATTTACCTTATTTACATAAGTTCATATACAATTTATTATTTAATAAAAATGAATTTATATTAATAATATTATATTTTAGAAAATATGTTAATTATTGTGTATTAAATTGTTATCTTAAAAATATATTATTCTATTATAAAATTCAAGTGAATTTACGGACTGATTTGTAACTTCACCATGATTTTTGTAATTTTTCTTATTTATAATATTTTTTAACAATTCTATGAATAATTTATCATATAATAAAATGAATTTCTATTAATAATATTATATTTTTAGAAAATAAGATAATTATTATGTATAATATTGTTATCTTTAGAATATTTGTTTTTATCATATAAATTAAAAATTAAGTTAAAATATTAATAGTTAAATATAAAGAAAGCAATGCTGATTTATTAACTTCTCCATGATTTTATATTTTGCTTATTTATATATTCTATTAATTTCATATATAATTTATTAAATAATAAAACAAATGTATACTAATAATAGTAGATTTAAAAAAATAAGATAATTCTTATGTATTAGATTGTTATCTTGAATATATATTTTTTATTAGAAAATTTAAGTAAATTATCTGATTTGTTATTTCTCCATGATTTAGATAATTTTGATTATTTGTCATATTTTTAATAATTTTATATAAAATTTATTATAAAATAAAAACGAATTTTTATTAAAAACTATATTTTGATAAAATAAGATACTTTTTATCTATTATATTATCTTGAAAATATATTTTTATTATAAAAATAAAAAATTAGGATAGAAAAAATTATAATTAAAATAAATTAAAGCAACACATTTGTAAAAAATATTTTTAAAAAATATTTTTTATGTGAGTGTTGTCATTTATAATTAATTTTAAAACATAACTCCTAACTTATTATATTGTTTAGAATTAATAAATTATAAACTAATAATAAATTGTACAAAAATTATGCATTCATGTGCGGGTAAAATACCTAGTTTTATATATATATATATGATTTATTTTTACCACAAAATTTATAAAGATGTTAATAATAAAAGATTTAGAATATATTTATATTTTTAATAAGTATAAATATTAAAATGTTTTTTAAAAAATGGCCCGGGGACCCGAATAAATATTGAGCCCGACCCGAATAAATTTTTATTTTTTCTGTAAAGCACTCCATGATCTGACCTTTAGAGCACCCCAATTGAGAGTTCAAATGGGGGTTCACACGGAAACCAATAAAATAAAATAATAAAATAACAAAAATCTATGAACCTCTCTCTCCTAAAGTTCACCCGGGTGAACCCCTCTCTCATAAGGTTCACCACGTGTCAGTCCGGGATTGGTCTAGGTCTTTTTTTTTTTCTTTTTTAAAAAAAAAAAAAAAATTCAAAAAGAAAACAAAAAAATTTTAATAATAAAAAACTGATTCAATGAACCCCAAGAGGGGGTTCATTGATGTGGATGCTGTTCAATCCAAAGATATCACAACTAATATAGTTAGTAAATGTTATTGTCAAGACTTTAATATTCAAGACTAATCAATATTCACCGGTAAGGTATATGATATCCACTAGCAAAACTACATTTATACTAACCCTTCTCCTTATCTTTGCTTCAACAAACTTTTTCTTGACGACCATAATGTCGGTAACGCGTCTACCTTTGCTTCTTCTCTTTGTACTCTTACGCTCTTGTATCTTTGCTTCATGCGTCTTCCTCATAAAAAGTCCTGTTGATGGTCTTGCTTCTTGTCATGCACAGCACATTCAAGCCCTTAGACAGTTCAAGAACGAGTTTGATTCCAGCGGTTGCAACCAAACTGACTACTTCAATGGAGTCCGGTGTGATAACACGACGGGTGAGGTCACGAGACTACAACTACCAAAGGGCTGTCTCAGGGGAACTCTGAGTTCCAACAGCAGTCTCTTCCGTCTGCATCATCTCCGATACCTTGATCTCTCTTACAACAACTTTGGCTCCTTTTCAGTTCCTTCTGAACTCGGCAATCTCAACAGATTAGAGGTCTTGATTCTTTCCTCTAATGGCTTCATAGGTCAAATTCCTTCCTCATTTAGCAACCTAAGTCAGCTATTTTTTTTACAACTTTCCCATAACGAGCTCACTGGTGGTTTCCCACTTGTACAAAACCAAACCAAACTCAACTATCTAGACATTTCCTATAATCACTTATCCTCTAAAACTTTGTATCCCAAAAGTAGCCTATTCATGTTGCATCACCTTCGTTACCTTGATCTCTCTTCCAACAACTTTAGTTTCTCCCCAATCCCATCTGAATTTGGCAATCTCTTTAGATTAGAAATCTTGTCTCTTTCCTCCAATGGCTTGACTGGCCAAGTTCCTTCCTCATTTAGTAACCTAAGTCGGGTAACTAAGTTGTCCCTTGACCGTAACGAACTCACTGGTACCTTAGAGCCTATCTCAAAGCTCACCAACCTCGACTTTCTCCGCCTTTCTTTCCTAAAAATAAGCTACCCATTTGACTTAAACCTCTTCTCTTCTCTCAAATCTTTGCTGGTCCTAGATTTTTCCGGTAACAGTATATCCCCAGATAGTTTAAGTTTAGATTCAGGCATCCTATTGAACTTGCAGAAACTGGACTTATCGGGATGTGGCATCACTCAGTTCCCAAACTTCTTAAAAAGCCTTGATAACTTGGAGGTTTTATACCTTTCCAACAATACAATCAGAGGGAACGTTCCTGAGTGGTTGTGGAAGCTTCCTCGTTTGAGCATGGTGGCTCTTGTTAATAACTCTTTCACAGGTTTTGAAGGTTCCGTGGAAGCATTGGTAAATTCATCGATTGGCTTTTTAGATTTGGCCTTGAACCATTTTAAAGGACCATTGCCAAACCCACCACACTCCCTCAAATCCTTGTCTGCATGGAACAATAGCTTCACAGGAAACATACCTCTTTCACTCTGCAACAGAAGCTCTCTTGATCTTCTTGATCTATCCTACAACAAATTCACCGGTTCAATCCCTCCATGTCTGAGTAACTTTCAAAGCTCTCTCGTTTCTGTGAATCTCCGGAAGAATAACTTGGAGGGAAGCCTTCCAGACATGTGCTATGATGGTGCCTTGCTTCGCACACTTGATGTTGGTTACAATCGACTAAATGGGAAACTTCCAAGATCACTCTTGAATTGCTCACATTTAAGGTTTCTGAGTGTTGACAACAACAGAATCAAGGACACATTCCCGTTCTGGCTCAAGGATTTGCCTTATTTGCAAGCTCTCACCCTCCGTTCAAACGAATTCTACGGTCCTATATCGCCTTCTGATCAAGCTTCATTTGCATTTCCGGAGCTGCGCATACTTGAAATAGCATATAACAACTTTTCAGGAAGCTTGCCTCCAGATTACTTTGTAAACTGGAAAGCATCATTGCTTGATGAAGATGGGAGGTTGTATATGGAAGACGACAGTGGTGATTTCTTTATATATCAAGATACCATAGACTTGCAATACAAAGGTCTATTCATGGAACAAGGAAAGATACTTACTTCATACGCCACCATTGACTTTTCCGGAAACAAACTTGAAGGACAGATTCCTGAATCTATAGGTCTCTTGAAGAAACTGATTGCACTCAACTTATCCAACAACGCCTTCACAGGACATATCCCTCTGTCTTTGGCAAATGTTACGGAGCTTGAGTCACTTGATCTATCAAACAACCAACTCTCAGGGACTATTCCTAAAGGACTCGAGACACTGTCATTTCTAGCGTACATAAGTGTTGCTCATAATAACCTCAAGGGAGAAATACCACAAGGAACACAAATCACTAGCCAACCTAGATCTTCCTTTGAAGGGAATGCAGAGCTTTGTGGTTTTCCTCTCAAGGGAAGTTGCTTCGGGACTATCGCACCACCAATGCAACAACAAGAGCAAGAACAAGGAGAAGAAGAAGTGTTGAACTGGAAGGCAGTGGCAATAGGTTATGGGCCTGGATTGTTGCTTGGATTAGCAATAGCACAAGTGATTGCTTCATACAAACCGGAGTGGCTCACCAAGATAATAGGTCTGTGTAAATTCAGAAACGGTTAGGACCATTTTGCGTTTGGTCTTTAAACGCATGTCAATTCGCTGGTTGCTTTCTAATAAAGTAGTTCCTTGGTATTACTTTCTCTTTGTATCGTTGACCAAAGCATTGTTCTATCCTTCTAAATAATGTAACTATGTAAAATAGTTAAAATTTATGTCATATTTATATAAACATCTCTATTTCTCAAGGTATGTGTTGATAACTTGATGTATCTCTATGACATAAACATATGACACACACTTCTTTGTGTGCTTGAATTGAGAAGCCGAGTATGAGTAAAATAAACTCATTCTCATTAATTCATTTACAATGTACAACGACAGTATTTATACTCTATACAGACTTCATGTACACGTATACAAAGAAATCAACTATACAATACATATATGACGACGGAGAAAAGCGGTTACGGTTAGGATGAGACGGCGGAAGTGTCAGTTAGAGAACGAGCTCATGTTGCTCTGATACCATATGAGTAAAATAAACTCATTCTCATTAATTCATTTACAATGTACAACGACAGTATTTATACTCTATACAGACTTCATGTACACGTATACAAAGAAATCAACTATACAATACATATATAGGATAATACCGAGGAAATATACAAGAAAGAATTGTCAATGATTTTGGAACATACACCAATGTTAAGACTTTCTCAAATATTTACTATATGTATCTCAGTTACAACTAAAAACCTTCTTTCCTACGTTATCATTTTTAATACATTCCTCTGTTAACAGAACAGAGAGATAACAGAGCCATGCGACGTATGTTTAAGTTCCATGTAACAATAAGAATAAAAAAAAAACTATCAAGAACTAAAACATTATTTTTCTTATCAACATAAATTTACATAAATCAAATTCTTTAAAAAAAAAAAGATTCAAAAACCTCTATGAGTATTACATTTTATTCAATTTACACTGATATTCCTCCACCACCTGTAACATCATCTGGAGGACTAATCGTGATCCAAAGCAGCGATACAGTGATCGACACAAGCCCTGACCAAACATAAACAATGGTCGGAACCTTTCCTCTCCGACCCATCAACCCTTTAGCAAACGGATACATATGAGTCAAAACCCACATACTAAAGAACATCCCTCCTAGCAACTTGTTCCACTGCGGAATCACACTATATATCGTCCTCGAAGCTCCTATCACAATCGCAACGAGGTTCACTACAATAATCGTTAAAGGCATGATGAACAACCCCGTCCACTTCACAATGTAAAGATCCGCAAACACGTCATCTTCGTCTTCTCCTGCTGATTTAGATGTCAAGGTGAAAGAGATTTCGATTCCAGCTATCACTTTGAGGAACCCCTGGACAACTGCTGCGAGATGAGCGCTCGTGCCACCTATAAGCCAAAACTGTTCGTTTCTCCACCATTCTTCGAGTCCTATACCTGACCATTTGACCTCGAGGAGGGAGATTAGGGTTAAGGTAATGGTGATGCAGAGGAGGTAGGAGAGGAAATGAATGTCGAGGCTTTGGACGATGAATTTTCCGGAGAAGAGACAGAGAGCTGGGAGGAAGCAGTAGACGACCAAGAAGATGGAGGTGAAAGGGTAGATACCGACGTTGAGGTAGGCGATTCTCTGGAGAAACTTGAGCCGTCTGGTGGCGAAAATCGCGTTGTTTTTGGAGAAGAAGATCTCTACTGAGCCTGTGGCCCAACGGAGGACTTGGTGGAGACGGTCAGTGAGATTTATTGGAGCTGTGCCGCGGAATGCGTCACGCTTTGTGATGCAGTAAACGGACCGCCAACCACGGTTATGCATACGGTAGCCCGTCACCACGTCTTCGGTTACCGACCCGTAGATCCATCCTATTCTATCTCCCCATTCTGTATTATCTTCATACCTGAAGAGCCATCACACTCAGTTTAGCTACATAAACGATTATACTACTAAGCGCGGATCAGAATCTAGTATCATTTACCAGCAGGAAATGACAGCGATGGCTTCAGCTACGGTAGGAGCATCAAGGGGAGGTCGAGGGAGGAGCAAAGCACCGGGCGGTCTTCCGTTTTTAACTGACATGTGATCTGCTAGAGGCCGTCCTTGGTACTCCGCAACTGGGATAGTGTCAGTGAACACGGTCGAGTTACCAAATTTTTTAGGTAGACCAAGATCTGGATCATCGGTAAGAGGTTGTGTATCGGACTCTATATCAGATGCTTGAGAATTTTGGGAATTTTGGGACGCGCCAGACTGAGTCCGGACATACATAGCCGGGGCTTTATCTTGACCAAACACCCCTGAGTACTCGTTTGCTCGAGGTGGGTTGAATCCATAGAGAGCATACCTTCGGAACATACACCCTGTTCCCACATAGACCGGTCCTTGTAACCCATCTAATGCTCTCATGTTACCTGTTTGAGAAATAAAAATGTTTAAGCTATGATGGCTTGTGATACAAGGTTTTAATTCAAGAACTTACCGTCAAAGAAGACAGTATTGTGATTTGCATAACGATCAGATGGATCAATTCCTTCAAACCTTTGTGGAAACTGAATGTAACAGATTCGATCACCACCTCGGTCCATCATGAAACACATTCCTTCTTTGATAGCTTTGGAATTGTATATGTAGTGATCACAATCCAAGTTAAGGATGAATGCACCGTTGGATAATATGGCTGAAGCTCTAACCATACCATTCATAGCACCAGCTTTCTTGTTATGGTCAAAACCTGGACGTTTCTCACGTGACACATATGCAAACATCGGTACTCGAATATCAATCCCAGTGAAGTCCAATGCACCTTCATTAGGTCCGCCCATCACCGGTTCAAGCTCAGGTACTTTACTCATAATCTACACATAGGATTCAACTTTTGATATGTCTCTTTTTTTTTTAAATCTAAATTAAAAGTTGATGGTTAGTACCTGTAGGATTCCGGCATGGTCTCCTTTTGAATGGTCAGGTTTAGGTTCAAACCACGTCCCTGGCCAATGTGTACCATCAGCCATCCACGTTGCTTTCACCACCTCAACACCATCAGGCGGCAGTACACCGCCATTTTTCTCTTTGGCAATACGCTTCTCCTTGAGCTCTTCTCTCATGTTGAACTGCTCAGCTCTTTTCTTGATTTGGTCCGGAAGACCGTTGATCCTGACCTTGAACTCATCATACTCACGCTTGACCCAACGACGATCTTTAACAAAATCTGGCTTTTTCTTGTTCTTTGTCGGGTCTTTCTTGAGGTTGAAGTAACTATCCGGGTTCCTTGGCTCTATGTCATGTTTTCTACAAAATGGTACCCAATACTGCAAAAGAAAATGCAAAAGTCACATCAAATGCTTACATCTTCTATTAGACTAGCGAAGACGCAGAAGAAGAGAAAGAGTGTGTGTGAATGAAACCTCAGCAAAGCGAACAGCTTCAGCCATGGCTTCAAAGGTGAGAATTGCACCACCATCATCTGAAATGTAAGCTGAAAGCTTCTCTATTGGGTAATCTACAGCGAGGATCGAGAGAAGGGTGTTTGCGGTAACTAAAGGAGGTTCTTTATCCGGGTCAGCAGTGGAAACAAACACATCAACACCAGGAAGATCAGAGCGACCAGTAGGGTTTGAAGGAGAAGGTTGCTCAAACTTGTCATGCAAGGCAGCAAGGTCAGTGGCTCTGTTTATAGGGTTTAGCTTTGGAAGAATATCAAGAATCCAAGAGAAAGCGAACCAAAGCTCGCAAACTATAGATAGTCCCCATAGCCACATTGCATCCTCGTTAGGATTCGCAATACGCCACCAGAGGAAGAAGAAGAGTACCACAAGACGACATACGATTAATAACCTAGAAGAGGGGATACATTGTAAGATTATGAAGTTACTTGTGTAACAAAGCAAGAGACAATCAATCACCTGTAAGGACTAAGAATTTTGGCTGGAATCTGAACTTTTCTGGTGAGAGGCTTCCATGGTTTGTCGAAAAAATCAGACATGTTCACACCACCGTCATAGTTTTCATCCTCTTCTGACCAATACGCGTTTCCTATACCGTACTTGCCTTTAGATTCAAACAACCACCTGTTATGATCAAAGTCTCCTGTTTGGCTCCTCAACAACATTGACTTGTTATTAGATTTCATGACGGATAATCTCCTCTCCATCTTGTTCTTGGGGCCACCACCAGAGGTGGAGCCAGCGGGTTGGTTGTCAGGTGTAGGAGGCATGTGGACGGTGTAGTTGATGTAATCAGTTTGGCTGGAGGAATCGCCAGGGACGTCCATGTCATCGTCGCGGGAGAGGCTAACAATGCGGCCACTGGACGTCCGGCGACCAAACTTGACGGCTTGTGGAGGCCGGCTTAAGGAGGAGGATTGTGAGTTTAAAGTCTTCTTGGGTGGACTTGAAGCCATTACAATCAGACAAGAGTTCTCTTGTGTTGTGTTTTGGGTTGTTTGGTTTCTTTAGCAAGAAACTGAACCCATATTCTTTGACAAAAACCTGATTTAGAAAAATATAAATTTTTTTTTTAAAAAATAACAGAGGAAGGTGTGAAAATGTTTAAGAGAAAAGAAAGGAAAGAAAAGAAAACGAAAATGTATAGAGTTTTGGAAGTTTCAACGGTTGATAGATCCTTTTCTATTATAAGAAAGAAAGAATAAAAAAAATTCAAAACTGAAAATCTATGAATCCTGAAGTCTCCTTTCTTTTAGCATTGCCTCTCTCTGTCTTTTCTTTTGATATTAATGTATGTACAAAGATATTTGAATGAAAGACAGTAGAAATAGATCCATCACAGCTTTGAGAGAGATAGATATAGCAAAGATACTAATAAAGATAGACAAAAACCACTCTCTAGGATACAAAGTTATATCATTGTTGTTTTATTAACAAACAAAAATAATTGATTAGTTCCTTAATTTTGGTGTTAATATAAATTGAATGTGTTAGTTACAAAAAAATGATTAGTTTCTTGATTTTAGTGATTATTCATTTTGAACAAGTTTAATTACGTTGGATTTGCATAATATACCACTCATGTAAGGTTTTTCAAGTTCCATAACAATTTCAGTTTTATTGTTTACAAAATAAATTTACATGAAAGTAAATGCACAAATGCACATGTACATGTTCAAGATTAGTCATAAGTGAAAATAGATATGTTCATAAATTTTCATCATATTGTAACGTTGTATTTGGTGCAGAGCCATGAACATTCATTTGTAGCTTTTGTTACAGAAAACATACAACTATTAAAAATAAAGAGTTAGCATCATATCAAATTTTGATTTGTATTAATTAGACTCATCACTATTGTTGTTTAATAATGACTAAGAACTATGTTCGAACCCAACACCTCACATGAATTTCATGTATTTAATATATTTATTTGATATTAGATTGTATCGTGAATGAGGATGATGATAATAAGTCATAGAAAATATGTTGTAATGGGTGAAAACAAGAAAGATATGTGGCATGTGTATCTATAATGTAAAAGAAGGTGTGAGTTAATGTATAACTTAATTGTATGATTATTTAATAAATGTTAATATTAAGAATGTTAGTTAAATGAATCTAATGGTCAAATTTTGATTTACTGTCTTTATGTTTGCTTGATATATGTTTGCGACTTCTCGACCATCGACGAAAGAGACATGATAGCTACTTGTGTGCCAAGAAAGATCTCTTGTCTTTATGTGTGCACTAAAATAAGAGATCTTTCTTGGCACACAAGGAGAAAACACAAAGAACTAAGTTTTCTCCTATTGCAATGTCATCATCGTTGTTTCCTGTAGTTAAATCTCATTCATTCTTTCGCATTACAATAATTAAGTTAAATCATTCACATCAAATATAAAACTATATCAGTATTAACGTAAAACTAGGATCTGTTCTGTTGTTAGTATACATTTTAACAACAGGAAAACAATATTTATGTTATAAAGTAAGTTCTTTCTCAAAAAAAAAACAATTTATTGACTGTAATTAACATTCGAAAGAGTTTTCTTTCTATCCAAATCCAATTTTTATATTAATTATGAAACAACGAATTCAATTAGGTAACTTTGGGACCTACTAAAAAATATCTTAGTGGTCTATGCACATTTAATGATTACCTTAATGTCGTTTTCTCTTCTGGATTTGACATCGCCTGTTTAGTGGTCTAGATAAGGGTTTATGTACTCAGTTGATCGTTCCAAGTTTTGGAGAAGGCATAGTCTACATATTAGTGAATTTAATATTAATATAAATTAATTTAATATTAATATAAATTATTCAGCATAATACAAAGAGTATTGTCAAGCATATATTACTTGAATCCTCACAACACATACAACTTTTAATTGTAAAATAATATTATACATCCTAATGGAAAAATATTTATAATAATTATTCAGCATAATACAACAAGTATTGTCAAAAATGATGAATTTCAAAAAACAGTTTAGAGTAGTGCAATTATATTTGAATCCTCATAAAACTTGTAAAATTGTCAGAATAATATTTTTAATGTATCTTATCATTTATAATAACATGAGAGTTCTCTAATGTTCCACACTTGGATGAACAAACGCAAATGGATGCTCCTTTGGAGACAATTTACTTGTATAACAAGCTATAGATTAACTAAAAGGTTTTAAATTTAGATTGTATTTTTTTTTTTTGAAAACCAGATTATATTCTCTTATTACAAGTGTGTAAGGATTACTATCACAAAATAATATCACAAATGATTATCTCACACGATGTGATGATAAATATGTAAACATAATATATTATATTGAACGAGTTGCATAAACTTTCTAGAGCGAGAACCAGCACCAAGAATTTTGGTTGAGCTGGTGGCCAAGGCGCAAATTAGTTTGGTCGTGGAGGAGGTGGGATAGATTTGGTCGTGGTGGCGGTGGTGGCAGAAACCAGAGATGGTTTAAACTCTAAACTAATGATCAAATCTCCTATAGTTAGTTATTAAAAAAAAATCACTACTACTGCTTTCTTGATGTGGCAAAATCTATTATTTGTTTTCTTCTTATGAATATCTCAAGGGAAAATCTTTTGCTTTTCAAATATCATTTTTGTGTAATGTTAATGACGATAAAATTATTCATCAGTTACACTTTCTCCATAGATGAATGACCTCTCCTAAGCTATAATTGTACTTTAGATTCTCCATTTCAACTGTGGTAAAAAGGTAAACTGATCGGCAGAATGCATGTGAAATTCATGTGATTTGCCAAACTTCAAATTAGCTTTTTGCATTACATTTGTATGATTAATTAATAAATTAGTTATAATTAAAGAAGGTGTGATTTAAGGTATATAACTTATGTTTGCCCGATATATGATTTGCCAAACTTCAAATTAGTTTTGTGCATTACATTTTTTGCAACTTCTCAACCAATAAAAGAGACGTGAGAGCCACTTGTGAACCAAGAAGTTCTTTTGTTTTGTAGTTAGTCTCATTGTTTCTCCACCTGAGTTGCATTACAATCTTTCATCGAGTAAACTGTGTTCATATCGTCTGAATCAGAGAAATTATTCCATTGCTACTTAAATCTATGATCTGTTGTTAATTTGCATTTGACAAAACCACATTTTACTGACTCTAATTAACTTGTAAAATAGCTTTTTTTTTCTCAACCCAAATTAGGTTTTTAATATTAATTACGAAAATAGTGAATTCTGTTAGGTAACTTCCCAACCCACTAAACAAATATTCTGATAACAGCCTATGTAATAATTTGTTTCTATGGTTTTGTTAACAATTTTTGCAATCTTGGTTGAATAAATGAACGTTTAGTCGGAAGAAAAAACATAAAGTAGACTATTATTATTCAAGCTTCCAAGCAAAGAAGTCAAAATAAATTTCCATGTTCATAAATTTTCCATACTATTGTAATGTTGTATTTGGTGCAGAGGCATAGACATTCTTTTGTAGCTAAGCCTGTTACCGAAAACATACAACTATTAAAAATAAAGAGTTAGCATTGTATCAAATTTTGCTTTGTACTAAACAGACTTATCATGTATTAATAATGTAAAAGAAGGTGTGAGTTATGGTATATAACTTAATTGTATGTTTTTAAAATAAATGCTAACATTAAGAATGTTAGTTAAATCTAATGGTCACTTTGATACGCTCTTGTGTTTAGTATTTGATAAATAATTAGTATAATAATATTGCATAAATTAGCACTATAAAAAGGGACAAGAGTCAAGTATCAGTTTCATACACGACACAAGACTTGGAACCCAAAAAAAAAGAGAAAACAGATATGTCTGAATCATTTCAAGTCTCTGATCCTTGCGCTCGCTTAGGCATCGTAATGAATCAAGATGGCACAATCACTCGTGACCAAACCAGACTCCCCCGCGTCCCAGCCTCACCTGTCGCCGTCGTATCCAAAGACATTGTCGTGAACCACTCAAACTCAACATGGATGCGTCTCTACGTCCCCACTACCGCACTAAACGTAGTCGTTTCGACTAGAAAACTCCCTCTCGTTGTCTACTTCCACGGTGGAGCATTCATCAACCACAGCGTCGACTTCAAACCAAACCACGAGTTCTGCAACCATCTGGCGCGTGAGTGCAACGTCGTCGTCGCGTCAGCTTCCTACCGTCTAGCTCCCGAGTTTAAACTCCCGACGGCGTACCTCGACGGAGTTCATGCTCTGAAGTGGCTAAGACACTCCGAAGACGTGTGGATCAGATCTTACGCCGATCTTTCTAACGTGTTCCTCATGGGGTCAAACTCCGGTGGTAACTTGGCTTACAACGCCGCGCTTAGATCCACCAGCGAATATCTAACTCCGTTATTTATCCGTGGATTGATCTTACAGAGACCCTTCTTCGGCGGCCAAAAGCGGTGCGTGTCTGAGCTCAGACACGAGAACGATCAGGCAGTCGGAGACCTTTGCTGGAAGCTTTGTCTCCCTGACGGAGCTGACCGGGATCACAAGTATTCAAATCCGAGGGTGGGAAATGATATGGAGATAATCAGACAGAGGGGATGGAAGGCGATGGTGATTGGAGAAGGAGAAGTAAAAGGAGGTGTGTGGATAGATAGGCAGAGAGATGTGGTGAAGTTGATGAAGGAGAAGGGTGTTGATGTGGTGGAGCGTTTTACTGACGAGGGCAATGTGTTTGCTTCCATCACAAGTTTCATTTACTCTTCTGCACCGTTATGGTCTTTCTAAAAAAAAAATTCCATAAAATAAAGAGGCCAGTCCCTTATCTTATGCTCGTTTAAAGATTACCTTTTATGTATTGGTTTGTGGAAAAAATTATAAATTAAGAATAATACTGGAGATCCAAGAGGCTCTTGATTGGCATTTCTCGATCGTCTCTAATGTTGTGAAAGGCCTGCTTAGTGGTGGTCTAAATAACGATTTATTTATGATGTTACTCAGTTGATCGTTCTACGTTTTACAGAAGGCTAATCATACATATAGAGGCTCTCTATTTTGTTAGACATATCTCTATTTCTCTTCTGGAACTTGGCATTGACATTACTCTTCTCCAATGTTTAGTGGTCTAGATAACAGTTTATTTATGATTTTACTCAGTTGATCGTTCCAAGTTTTACATAAGGCAAATTATACATATTAATGAAAAAACGATTTATAATACTTATTCAGAATAATACAAAGAGTTTTGTTAAACATGAATTTCATAAAATGGTTTAGACTAGTGCAGTTATATTTGAATCATCATAAAACATGTAAAATTGTCAATTGTAGAACAATATTTGTAATGTTTCTTTTCATTTACAATAACATGAATTTCATAAAATGGTTTAGAATAGTGAAGTTAGATTTAAATCATCATAAAACATGTAAAATTTTCAATTGTAGAACAATATTTGTAATGTTTCTTATCCATTATAATAACATGAGAGTTCTCCAATGTTCCACACTTGGACGAACAAGGACAAATGGATGCTCCTGTATATGACATGTAAAATTTACATTTATGTATTCATTTTTCGTTTCTATTTATATTAGTAAATTTAAAAGTCTTAATTATAGTACATTAACGCTTTATTATTATGTTTTCCTGGAATTTCGCCAAACTTCAAATTAGTTTTGTACATTGAATTATGAAATATATATGCCAGCGTGTACCACGAAAGGCCTCTTTGATTTGTTTTAGTGCACAACAAGAGAAAGCATAGAGGCATTTGATACCTTTTTTTGGTATGAAGACTCATTTGATGCTTGATCAAACATTCTACATATTTGTTACAATAACATGTATAAAATATAATCATAAAATATCAATAATAGTTCAACTATATCACTAAATATTAATATTAATTAACTTTTAATATTTATTTTATCAAATAAACATATATTGATCTAATTCTTATTAATCTAACTATAAAATGTCATTGTTACACATCTGACGAGAGTTTTAATTTGAAGGAATCATTTTCTTGCAATTTGGGTTAGAGCATGATTATATTTATCATACAAAGTTATATCATTGTTGTTTTATTAACAAATAAAAATAATTGATTAGTTCCTTAATTTTAGTGTTAATATAAATTGAGTGATTTTTAATTTGCACAAGTTTAATTACGTTGGATTTGCTTAATATACCACTCATGTAAGGTTTTCCAAATTCCATAACAATTTCAGTTTTATTGTTTACAAAATAAATTTACAAGAGAGTAAATACACATGTACATGTTCAAGATTAGTCATAAGTGAAAATAGATATGTTCATAAATTTTCCATGCCATTGTAACGTTGTATTTGGTGCAGAGCCATGGACATTCCTTTGTAGCTTCTGTTACAGAAAACATACAACTATTAAAATTTTAAAAATAAAGAGTTAGCATCATATCAAATTTTTCTTTGTATTAAATAGACTCATCATTATTGTTGTTTAATAATGACTAAGAACTATGTTCGAACCAGACACCTCACATGAATTTCATGTATTAAACATATTTATTTGATGTTAGATCGTATCGTGAATGAGGATCGATAATAAGTCATAGAAAATATGTTGTAATGGGTGAAAAAGAAAAAAGATATGTGGCATGTGTATCTATAAAGTAAAAGAAGGTGTGAGTTAATGTATAACTTAATTGTATGATTATTTAATAAATGTTAATATTAAGAATGTTAGTTAAATGAATCTAATGGTCAAATTTTGATTTATTGTCTTTATGTTTGCTTGATATATGATTTGCCAAACTTCAAATTAGCTTCGTACATTGATTTTTGTGCGACTTCTAAACCAACGAAAGAGACGTGATAGCTACTTGTATACCAGAAAAGATATCTTGTTTTAGTGCACAAAAGGAGAAAACACAAATGACTAAGTTTTCTCCTGTTGCAATGTCATTATTGTTGTTTCCTATAGTTAAATCTCTTTCATTCTTTCGCATTACAATATTTTCATCAAGTAATTGAGTTAAATCATTCACATCAAATAGAAAACCATATCAGTATTAACGTAAAACTAGGATCTGTTTTGTTGTTAGTTTACATTTTAACAAAAAGAAAACAGTTTATGTTATAAAGTAAAGTAAAGTTCTTTCTCAAAGAAAAAAAACAATTTATTGACTATAATTAACATTCAAAAGAGTTCTCTCTCAAACAAAATCCAATTTTTATATTAATTACGAAACAACAAATTCAATTAGGTAACGTTGCGACATATTAATTAAAAAATATCTTAGTGGTCTATGCACATTTAATGATTACCTTAATGTTGTTTTCTCTTCTAGAACTTTACATCGCTTGTTTAGTGGTCTAAATAAGGGTTTATGTACTCACTTTGTATATAGATTGTATTTTCTTTTTCTTTTTTCTTTTTTTTTTGAAAACCAGATTGTATTCTCTTATTAAAAGTGTAAGGATTACAGTCATAAAATAATATCATAAATGATTACCTCACACGATTTGATGATAAATATGTAAACATAATGTATTATATTGAAGGAGTTGCATATTTTGGTTCAAATTAGTTTTAATATTTTTCTATAATAGAAATGTCTTACTATGTTCATTCAACTCATTTGATACTTGATAAAATATTTTCCTTATTTGTTAAAATGACCTGTAAAAACTATAATCATAAAATATTTATAATATAAATAACCCATTTTATCATATTATTAAATATTAATATAAATTAATTCTAAATAATTATTTTGTCCAATAAAAATATATTGATCAGATTCTTAATAATCTAACCATAAAAATGTCATTGTTACATATATGATGAGAGTTTTGCAAGAATTTTTTTCTTGCACTTTGGGTTAGAGCAATGATTATCTTTATTATGCAAATTTATATCACTATTAATGTTTATATTAATAAATAATAAATAATTGATTAGTTCATTAATTTTAGTGTTAATATAAATTTAATTGGTTAGTTCCAAAATTAAAGAGACATGACAACGACTTGTGAACTCATAAAAGATCTCTTGTTTTAGTGCACAAAAAGAAAAAGCACAGAAGACTAAGTTTTCTCCCCTCAACAATGTCATTGTCGTTAGTTTTGTAGTTAGTTTCATTCTTTCTTTAATTCAGTTACAATACAATATTCCATCAGATAAATTGTGTTAAATCATTCACATTAGTCTCATTTTTTCTCTAATTCAGTTACATTACAATATTTCTATAAATTATTAAATTATAATTTTTATAAATTTTATATTTTTAAAAAGAATTAAAATATTATTTGTTTATATTTAAACATTAACCCACATAACACGCTAAACTTATATATTAATTCATTTTATTTTATTTAATGATTAAAATTGAAATAGTGTAAATGGGTTCAAATTAATTTTGATATTTTATATAATAGAAATGACTTATTATGTTCATTCAACTCATTTGATACTTGATAAAATATTTTCCATATTTGTTAAAATGACATGTAAAAACTATAATCATAAAATATCTATAATATTAATAACCCATTATATCATATTATTAAATATTAATATTAATTAATTCTAAATAATTATTTTGTCCAGTAAACATGTGTTGATCAAATTCTTAATAATCTAACCATAAAAATGTCATTGTTACATATCTGATGAGAGTTTTGAAAGAATTGTTTCTTGCACTTTGGGTTAGAGCAATGATTATCTTTATTATGCAAAGTTATATCACTATTAATATTTATATCAATAAATAATAAAGAATTGATTAGTTCATTAATTTTAGTGTTAATATAAATTTAATTGGTTAGTTCCAAAATTTAAAGAGACTTGACAACGACTTGCGAACTCATAAAAGATCTCTTGTTTTAGTGCACAAAAAGAGAAATCACAGAAGACTAAATTTTCTCCTCTCAACAATGTCATTGTCGTTAGTTTTGTAGTTAGTTTCATTCTTTCTTTAATTCAGTTACAATACAATATTCCATCAGATAAATTGTGTTAAATCATTCACATTAGTCTCATTCTTTCTCTAATTCAGTTACATTACAATATTTCAATAAATTATTAAATTATAATTTTTATAAATTGTATATTTTTAAAAAAAATTAATATTATTTTGTTTATATTTAAACATTAACCCACATAACACGCTAAACTTATATGTACATAATTCATTTTATTTTATTTTATGATTAAAATTGTAATAGTGTAAATTGGTTCAAATTAATTTTGATATTTTATATAATAAAAATGACTTATTATGTTCATTCAACTCATTTGATACTTGATAAAATATTTTCCATATTTGTTAAAATTACCTGTAAAAAATATAATCATATAATATCTATAATATGAATAACCCATTCTATCATATTATTAAATATTAATATTAATTAATTCTAAATAATTATTTTGTCCAATAAACATATATTGATCAATTTCTTAATAATCTAACCATAAAATGTCATTGTTACATATCTGATGAGAGTTTTGAAAGAATCTTTTTCTTACACTTTGGTTTAGAGCAATGATTATCTTTATTATGCAAAGTTATAACACTATTAATGTTTATCTTAATAAATAATAAATAATTGATTAGTTCATTAATTTTAGTGTTAATATAAATTTAATTGGTTAGTTCCAAAAATGATTGATTGGTTTCTTAATTTTAGAGTTTATTTGCACAAGTTTAATCACGTTAAACTTGCTTAATAGAGCACTTTATTTAAGGGTTTCCAAGTTCCATAACAATTTCAGTTTTCCCTTTATTGTTTACAAAATAAATTTACATGAGAGTAAATGCACACGTACATGTTCAAGATCAGTCATAAGTGAAAATAGATATGTTCATATATTTTGCATGCTATTGTAATGTTGTATTTGATGCAGATGTAGTCATGGACAATATTTTGTGGCTAAGCCTATTACAGAAAACATACAACTTTTAAAAATAAAGATTTAGCATAATGTCAAAATTGTTATCATTATTGTTGTTTAATAAGGACTAATAAGACTATAAATGCTCAAACTGACACCTTACATGAATTTCATGTAGTTAACATATTTATTTGATAGATTGTATCGTGAATGAAGATGGCATAATAAATCATAGACAGTATATGTTGTAATAGGTGAAAAAAGAAGAAGAAGAAGAATAATATGTGGTATATGTATTAAATTAATAATGTAAAAAAAGGAGTGATTTAAGGTATATAACTTAATTGTATGATTAATTAATAAATGCTAATATTAAGAATGTTAGTTAAATCTAATTGTTAAACTTTGATATTGTGTAAGTAGATAGAAAAATGCTTCTGTGTTTAATAGTATATAAACTAGGATAAGACATTCGTCTTGCGCAGGGTGAATATATTTAATTAAAATATAAAATTTTAGTATTTACAAATTTAAAATTTACATATGATTGTTTTTATATGTATTTGAAATTTTAGAATTTTGGAATTTTTATATATTTATCTATACGTAGGATCAGAAACAATTGTAATTAGAACTGTAGATCAAATCTTAGAATTTAATGGACCCGGTTTCATATATTTTTTTTTACTTTTCAGTGTTCGAGTGATGGAAAATAAATGAAGTGTCACTCGGCTTGATTGGTAGAGTATTAACAAGTTCCCTAATGATTTTTTAAGAAGCAGTTGGTAAAATATTTGCATTTGAAATATATAAAGTTTCAAAACTAATTTAGTATAATTTATTTGTTTGTCTAATAGTATTATATAATTATAATTTTTACAAATGATATTTTTAAATAATTTTATAAAAAAATAAGTTAAATTTTAAATTATTTTTAAAAATAATATTTTAAGTTTTTCAAATACAAATAAACAATTTAAAATTAATTATGATCATGATTTAACATAACCATAATGATTAAAAAATTAAAAATTAACAAATTAAAAATTAACTCAGTTTTATATCATGATTTAACAATTTAAAAATTAATTATGGTTATGAGAAGTTTACGTTCACGTGTCAATCCTATTTATCTTTAATTTTTTCTCTTGTTGTGTTTTTTTATATTTTCATTATTACTCGATTTAAATATTTATTTTGAAATTTATTCTCATTTCGTTTGTTTGTTTTTGACCTTGAATTTAGAAAATACTTAAGATTTAAAATAATTAAAGAAATACATATTTAGGTTAAGATCTGTACTTTATACACAATAAGTATTTTATATTTATTATTTATTTTATATTTTACTGCATATTATAAAATAATAAAATAATAAATATATATATATTAAATAACTAAGAAATCATTTACTATCATGTAATAAATTGGCGTATGCATATAAATTTAACTATCCTTCTTGTTTATTCGCAATTAGGGTAAATAAAGCAAAATAATCAATCTTATATATTGTATATGATAAATAAATAAATTTAAATGATATACACATAATAATATATCACACTTTTAATATGGATATTTATAAATGAGGTTTCTACTCATATGATTTTATGATTATTTGCATATTTGTGTAAAAACTTTACACCCACAAATTTTTTTTAATGTGAGATTTTTAGTAGTTTCAATAATTTATAATCATTTTAAAAACACAATGACATATTCCAAAATTAAAATACTAACTTTTCAATATATGTTCAAAGCAAATACCAAAATATATATATGTATTTTCATACGATGTAGAGTTTATTAAAATGATATGAAATATATATAAACTAAAATTATTTCTTCATGGTTTTATAATAATTATATTTTAGTATAGAAAAAAATTAAAACCTTGATCCTAAAAGTTTATGTGAGACTTTTAACAGTTTTAGTAATTTATACATGTTTTGAAAAATTTGAAATACAACATACACAAAAAAAAAAATCTAGATTTTTATTATATGATTAATGTAATTGTGTAATTTATTTTAATAATAAAGAAATAAACAAAATGAGAAAAAGTATACTTGTTATCAAATCTTTATTTTTTTAAATCATTAATTTTCATATATATATTTTAATCATATTAGGTAATTCCGTAGGTTTTATTTAATGAAAGCATACAAAACAATAAATATTTGATATATGCGACCAACTGTAGCCTACGAAATATTATATTGCTAGAGAGTATAATTTCTAGATTATACATTATATCACATGCTCTAGAATGTTTAGGATTTGAAATAGAAGCCAAAGAGTTATGTCACATAGGATTGAGGTTATTTTTTATTCTTATAAATTTAAGGTTACAAATTTTTAAATGATTCTCAATTTATATATAGGGGATAATATATAAATAATTAGAATATATTGCATAAATTTTCACTATAAAAGGGGACAAGGGTAAGTATCAGTTTCATACACAACACAAGACTTCGAACCCAAAAAAGACAACAGATATGTCTGGATCATCTCAAGCCTCATCAGATCCCTTCCCGCCACAGCCAGTCGTATCCAAAGACATTATCGTGGACCCCTCAAAGTCAACATGGATGCGTCTCTACGTCCCCATTACCGAACTAAACGGAGGCGTTTCGTCTAAAAAACTCCATCTCGTTGTCATCTTCGACGCTAGAGGCTTCAACACCGGCAGCATCGACTCTCAAGTCTTCAACGCCGCCTGCAACCTTATCGCGCGTGAGATCAGTGTGGTTCTTGCGTCACCTTCGTACTAGCTAGCTCCTGAGAACAAACTCCCAGTGGCTTACGAAGACAGTGTGGACGCGGTGGAGTGGATAAAAAACTCCTCCAAAGAAGACGAGTGGCTGATAAGCCCTAGAGAGTATATTACAGGAAGATGAAGTAGAAGAGCACTGGAGTAAAGGAGGAGAAGACTGTCAATGATGACGTGGAAATGGAAGACTCAACTTGAAGAAGTCGTTAGAGAAGTTTGTTATGGACGTTAGAGTTAGTTGAGTTGTTATGAGTATAAATACAAATTGTAAAGAGTGAGAGAGCAACTTTTGAGTATTGTGTAGAGTGATCTTATAGACTAAAGATCTGGATCCTAGGCTTGTATCTCTGGATTGTAGAGTACAAGAGTGGGTGGTTGGATGGTTTATCAATAAAACATATTCATTCTCTTATCAGGGGCTCAAATCTTACGTCGATCTTTCTAACGTCTTCCTCACGGGGATAGGATCTGGTGGTAACGTGGCTTATAGAGATGTTAAGATGGGTTTATTTTCGTGGGTTTTAAATGGATTCTGGAAAAAATAAATGTCCATTTAGACCCATTTAACTAGTCGGGTTTTAAATGGGTAATCCTATTAAAACCCATTTATTAAATGGGTTTTGTCTAAAATAATCGGGGATCCGTTTAACCCATTTATATTTTTTAGTAACTTAAATTTAGTCCATTTGTTTTTTCTCGCCAAAACCAAAAATAAAGTTTTTCTCGCCAAAATCAAAATTTAGATTTTACGCCAAAAACGTAATTTCTCGGTTTTGGCGGAAAAATGTAATTTTTCGGTTTTGGCGGGAAAACGTAATTTCTTGGTTTTGGCGGGAAAACGTAATTTCTCGGTTTTGGCGGGAAAACGTAATTTCTCGGTTTTGGTGGGGAAACGTAATTTCTCGGTTTTGGCGGGAAAACGTAATTTTTCGGTTTTGGCGGGAAAACGTAATTTCTCGGTTTTGGCGGGAAAACGTAATTTCTCGGTTTTGGCGGGAAAACATATTTTTTTGGTTTTGGCGGGAAAACGTAATTTTAATTGGAAACGGAAAATTAGAATAAAAAGTCAACAACAGTTCAAATGGGTCTAAACGGGTTTAAATGGATAGCCCTAATAGACCTATTTTTAAAGGGGTCTAAATGGATATTGATTCTAAATGGGGTGGGTCTTAAATGGGGTGGGTTTTACCATATTAACATCCCTAGTGGCTTACAACGTCGGGCTTAGATTCACCTAGGAAGATCTAACTCCATTAAGTATCCGTGGGTTGATCTTAGACGAGCCCTTATTCGGCGGCAAAGAGCTGTTCCCGTCTGAGCTCAGACACGTGAACGATCAGGCTGTTAGAGACTGGAACATAAGAGTAGATATCTTGCAGATCCAAGTGCCTGCATCATGAAGCAAAAGAAAAGGTTAGACCAAATCCAGTTAAATTTGTGAACAGGGTAGACTATATGCTATACTCTCGTCAATCATCATCATTTATCATAATAATTTGTAAATAGATTAGAAAGACCAAGGCAAACACAAGCATTGATATCAGTTACAAATCATAACTTTCTTACATATATATATATATATATGCGGCCTATACAAAACCAATGTCAACATGTAAAATCTAAGCAGAAACATAGCATGAGAATTTACAGACCAGAAAAAAAGACAGCAACAGCGAACATATATCTAGATAAACCTCGCGAAGAAATGGTTCAGACTTATTTGCCACAGTTGAAGCCACCACAAACTGAAACGATGATGATGAGGATCAAGGAAATGATAATTGCAAGAACAATGAGTTTTATCTTCATGTTCTGAAACCAAAACTTTCTTTTAATTTGATCTCCTTGTGTTCTGTAACGTTCCGCCTGTACACAGTTTTGAGTTTAATTAAATATTTGCCAAACCCAACACAAAAGCAGTAAGAGAGAGCTGTCTGTGTATGTACGTGGAACCATTTGTATAGGAAAGCTAACCTCTGAACTAAGGTAATTGGTTTTTTCCACCAAAATTTCAATATCTCCACCACGCTCAATAACCTGCATGCAGACGAGAGTGAGTTCCAAAACAATGTTTAAACAGCAGAATACGTAAATGCTTTTAGTAAGGCCAAACGACCCTGGTACTTTAAGTCATATAACTAAACTCTCAGTCTATAGGAAACATAAAACCAAATATGAGTAAAGAATAAGAGTTTAGAAATAAACCTTGTCAATGTTTTCTATCAAGACACCTTTTACTTCAGACACTTGAGCTTTCACCTTAGCAAGCTTGCTAATTTCATCAGGATGATCCATGCAATACTGCATATGCTCTTTCAGTTTCGACCTTGAGAGCAGCAAGCAAAAACGGAGTCAAACGTGCCCATAAATAATAACTTTCTTAATCACAAATATAAGTGTACCCAAATTCTTTATTCAAGCTGTTTGGTTGGCTAGTTGCAGCCTTCCCACCACCGTATCTCGTATTGAAATCTTCCTTAACTCGTTCCAAGAAGGCTATAGGAATCTCCTTCCCAACAGAATCAACTGCAACAACACAATAGGCTGCACAACAAACAAAAAATAAAAATAATAAGGTTACACTTTCAAGTTCCGTACTGAGAGATAAGAATAAGATAAACAAGACTAGATGACCTAATATATCACTTGTTATAGTGTCAACTTTATATTAAAACAGAGCTACATAAGGAATACTCCAACGCAATTGCTCTCAAGTGATATATCCCCAACGTTCCAAAATAACTCTCGCATAGTGATTATTATTTTTTGCATGGTCCGTGTAGGACATTCTCTATGACAGAGTCACAACCATTTTTTTGGAGAATTTTGTGACTTACTGAAACCATTTTCAACGAGGTAATTGAAGGTATGACCATCGCAGTTGTAGATGACCTTGTTTTTTGAAGGAGGAAGCTTTTGGAGGCACTGTGCAGCGATGGACGTGAAGTTGCCTTTGAAACCAGTGAAGTCCACCAGGATCACCGTACCTCGAGCCACGAAACTGTAGATCAACGATTGTTGCGCCATTCAAACGAAGCCTTCAGAATTTCAGATGGAATTACCGACTTCAGAGAGTTATCGACGTGAAGGAAGGAAGCCAGAGATATATATAGAAGACTAACGCTGAAAGTAACGCGTACTAAATCAAACCTTTGAAATGGAGTACTAAACAAGTAAATTGAGAAAACTATAAACTTGTGAAAATAAGAATCTTGAGATTAAGGATTAGATAGCGAATTTGGAACTTTTATATTCAACTTGTGTGCTTCACGCAACAACAAAAAAAACTTGTGTGCTTCATAAAAGTTGGCATGTATTTGATGGTTTCAACTTTCAACGTATATCACAGCGTAATTATTTGAATACAACTGGATTATTAGAGTTTGAACTTTTCTTTTTGAAGAAAGGCTTTGTCTTAAGTTTGAACTTTGAATAAAGGATACCGTATGGTCTCGTTCCAATTTTATGTAAGAAAATATTCATTACAAGTGCCTTATCTTCTTTTCTGTGTAATTGGAAAACCTACATGCACCCATGTCCGCTCTTGTTATTCAAGTATTTTCTTGATTTATGCTGGCAAGTAAGTTTATTAATATGTTTTGTTAACATATATATAAATGTATATAAGTTTACTGGAATAGAAACTGCAATTTTGTATACACAACTTGTTAATACACCAGAATGCAGCTTGTTTCAATTCCTATAAAAAGGGGAAAAAGTAATGGGGTGAGAGAGGCTCGAACTCTCGACCTCAGGATCACTCAATAGCTATGAGACCTACGCGCTAGCCAACTGCGCCACCACCCCATTTGATATTTGATGACATTTACTCAAATTAGTTAAACAACACAGAAGTCAAATTCATTGACACATCCGTTGAAAATTTATATGCTGCCAGATGAAAATTATATGATTTCCAGAAGCAACAACTGTAATTCGAGAAGAACCAATACATAGAAGATTGCCCTTCACGTAATAATAAATAAATAGTATTACTATAAAACACATGACCTGGTCAAGAAGACTACAAGACTCAGGCAAACATTAGTTGTGCTGCTTTATTCAAACAACTATAATAATTAATAAACTGAATAAAGGAAAAAGGACCAGATTCTCTCCAAGGAGAGACAGAGTGCTGAGGTCACAAATATTCTGAAGAGTGAAAGGGTCTTCGTTGGTCTTACACATCGTATCTCTAACGAGCATCCTTGGACAAAAGTCCTTGCGCTTCAACTTTTCTTGCGTTGCGAAGCTCATCAACTCCATCTCCTCTCTCAAACACAGCTGCTGCACCCATACCCGTCCCTGTAAAGATTTTCCCAATAAACAATGCATTTTCAGATAATGATTTAGAGATTGTAAGTTTGAGAGTGCAGAGTATGAGGGAGAGAAGCTTACCAATGCACATTGACACAACCCCAAACCGACAGTCTTTTCCACGGCGTTTCATCTCGTGCAACAAAGTTGCAACGCAACGTGCTCCTGTCAGATATTTAAAAAGCAGCAGCTAATCTTAGTCTCTTAGCTCTAGGTTTATTTTATATAGCCTAGGACTTAATACAGCAGATTTGAGAAGTTGTGAGTTGATAAGAGCGTAGTTAGTGAAGCGTAACCCAACCAAGTCTCTTTGGCTTGGTTTTAATGAAATAAGAATAGTAATCTAATAGCTCCTTTCTTATATACCTGTAGCTCCCAAAGGATGTCCGATGGCCATTGCACCTCCATTGACATTGATCTTCTCTGGATCAAGTCCCAACTTGTTACGGCAATACAAAAACTGAGATGCAAATGCCTGAACACACAAGAATTAGAACCGAGGTTATACTAAGATCATGGAAGTATTTGCTACTTACCTCGTTGATCTCAAACAAGTCGATGTCATCGAGTTCTAAACCAGCAGCCTTAACTGCAGCAGGAATGGCAACTGCTGGACCTACACCCATGATTGCTGGATCAACACCAACTGCAGCAAATGTCCTGCACGTTGTCCAATAATGTGTTACTTAAGAAAACCAAGAAATGTTGGGAGATACAGAACAGTTGCAGACTTATAAACCCACCCACCTGAATACACCGAGAACGGGAAGTCCTTTTTTGGTAGCAACACTTCTTTTCATGAGGAGAACCGCTCCTGCACCATCACTTACTTGGCTGGCGTTTCCTGTTTGTGAAAGGAACACATGAAGCAATGGATTATAAAAACCTAGGATAGAAAAAGAAATGTGTTCTCTGCGATTGGAACAATCGATTTAAGAAAATGTACCAGCAGTTGTGGTGCCATCCTTTTTAAACACTGGCTTCAGCTTTCCAAGAGAAGCAAGAGTTGTGCTTGGTCGGATACCATCATCAACAGAAACTGTAATGGGTGTCTCATCACCTGTCTTTGGGTCAACAAGCTGAAAATTAAGAAAACACAAGTTATTGACTATCATAACACCATGAATGAAGTTTAGTAACTAATGGCAAGAGAAGTCTCAAATGTTTAGCAGTTATTGTATGAAGCATCAGGAAAGGACCTTGGTTTTGACAGGAATGATCTCATCCTTGAATTTACCAGCAGCAGTAGCAGCTGCTGCCTTTCTGTGCGAGTCAACCTAGCAATATTACCAGATAGTTTAGCATCGATAGATCAAATTTATGGGTTCATCTAAAAGTACAACCACACTGAGAAAGTTCAGTTGCCTTACAGCAGCTTGATCTTGCTCCTGCCTTGAGACACCAAAGCGGTGTGCTACATTTTCTGAAGTAACACCCATAGGGAGAAGACAGTTCTGTGCTTGCTCAAACTTCTTCACCTGCAATAACATAAAACGTTCTATAAAGCTAACAGAGCCAGTTCATAAAACACAGAGAAGGGATAATTAAGAGACATTACCGCTGGGTTGACAGACCCTTCCCATGCCATGGGATTGGTAGTCATAGACTCCAATCCAGCCCCAATACCTGCATCCAATCCAACATCACCGTCAGCTATACGAGCACAAAGACATCAAGAAATGTAATCAAATACAGCTATTCTCTTACCAATATCATAAAATCCAGCTTTGATGGCAGCAGCTACATCAGCAACAGCCTGAAGCCCAGATGAGCATTGTCTATTCACGGTTCTCACGGCCACGGTTTCTGCACCAAAGGACATAACAGTATCAGCACACAGCAAACAGACACAAAGACTTCAATCTATACAGAAGAAACATACCAGGGAAACCAGCATAGAAAGCAGACATCCTGCATTCGCTAGCTCTCTGAGACCCCGGAGCCAAAACAGTACCAACAACAATGTCACCAACTTCACTTGGGTCAAGATTTGTCTTCTCAATCAATGCCTGCACCAAGAAGACAACACGATAAGACAAATATAAGAAAAAAACAACAAAAAAAAAAAGAAGAAAAGAGATATCAACAGACCCTCAAAACAGGTGCAAGGAGATCATCAGGATAAGTATCCTTAAAGTTGCCACGTTTGGACTTGCAAAGTGCAGTCCTATGCGCCCTGCAATGGATCAAAAAAAAAAAGCGTAGTATTATTATCATTTTTTTAAAAAGTATTATTATCATTTTAGAAACAAGACAAAACAAAGAGGGACATACGCGACAATGACAACATCATCTCCATAAAGAGAAGTCCTCTGGTATGCAGCACTGTCCCCAGCCAAGCAAGCTGAAGCCTGTTTATAAGTTGCAACGTAAAAACAAGTTAAAGTTAAACGAGATAAAAAAACTTTGACCTTTTTATAAGAGATCAATCTGAAAAAATGGTGAAAACGAAGATATCTATATTTACAATCAATCAAGTAACCCAAAAAAAAAAAAATACAAATTCAATGCTCTCAAATTTGATCTCAAACTATAAATTTGATCAATGCATCGAATCAAATGATAAATTAACAATCGAAACTCAAAATTAAGAAAAACCAAGATCGAGAACAATCAGTAATACGGAAGCATCGAGATGAAAGCTTACAGAGAGAGAGGATTCAAAACTGTGAGAGGAAGAAGAAGAAGGGCGGAGATGTTCAAGAAGAACTCGTTGCCTCTCAATCGCTTTCTCCATCTTTATTTTTTAATTTGGTAACGGGAAGGTAGAGTCGTCGGGCAATTTATAAGGAAGATAGCTAATAGCTCACCGCTTTGGCCGTTAACTGTTAATCCAAAATTTAAGTAAATCATAACTAATCATTTTTTGGTACTATTTTTTTTTAAGTGGCTAATAATTCCATTCGGACACACAATCTTGTATCCTGTAAATTTTGAAATCAAACAGTAACAGCCTTTGTCCTTAAAACATAATCCTATTATATACGACCTAAACTTCTCACATTTACATGCATTTATGACCTTTTTGATTAACAACAATCGGTTTAGTTCGTTAGCATGTCCTCTCTCTTTTTTTGGTCAACCAGTTGGTTAGTATGTCCAATTAAAAAATAAAGATTGATAAAGAGACAAGAAGATCCGATTAGGCGTGACGCGGGCCCCCGCCTGATTTGGGCTTCGAAGTGCGTGCCGTGTAGGCGTGTATCCATTTACACGACGATACGATGACCCCAGACTTTCTCCACCAACTTCATTTACCCCTCAAACTTACTGTATTATTATTAGGGAATTGCTTTTTGTCTACACGGCCAGTGCCGGTCCGATAGCCCTTAAATCACATAGTGGGGAAGCCTTATTTTTGGAGGCATGAAGGGATTGAATCCAGACACTCGTTACGGCCACTAAACCAGGACCTTCTCGGCAACTTACTGTATTGTTTAAGTGTAGACGAACTCTCTTACGATAGTGAATCATTGATTATGCCATTTTCTTTTGTAAATTGTATTCTACCGATGAGACAGTACAGATTTCCTTTACTAGTAGATAAATAAATATCTGAATTCTTTTTTATAGTATCACTGTCAGGGCCGTGACTTGTCAGGACCGTGACTGACATATGAATTCGGAAAACTTGAAGTATCCGGATTCAGATATAATTACAGTCTTCTATTGCCATTCTGACGTTAAAGCTGTCGTTTGTTTCTTGGTGTCCATTTATTGAGTTTATCAAAAAAAACTTCGTCAAAATTTATAGTTCATTTTTTTCATTAATTTAGTCTGGTATAAATTCTAAAAATATAAACATAATAATAAGAAAAACTTCAAAACCATCTTAAGCTTTTAAACTTAGACTAAAAAATGTTTTCACTCACTAACACACCATTTTAGTCACCAATTTTAACTCAAAAACCTGATAAACAAAAATGTGAAAATTATTCGTGTTTGACTAAAAGTTGATGTTTAAAATGACATCTTTGTGAGTTGAATATTTTTAGATTAAGTTTAAAAATTAAGAATTACTTTGATTTTTCCTTATAATAGTAATATTTAATGGTATTTAATGTAATTTACTTGTAGAAATTAGTAGGAACAATAAATATATAATTTATTAAAAGATATTTTTCAAAAATATTTATTATTTTATAATAACTTATAATTTTAAGAAATTCATTTCACTTCTCTTTTATTAAATTATTTTAGTGACTCAGATAAATTAGTGTGACTAAGCACTAATCTAACCTCAATAAAATGTCCATCGATCCCCAAGTAAAATGCATTGGAAATATTCTAAGTAATTATCATCATTATCATATACTATTTAACTAGTTGATAATCGTGCACATGCGCAAGGTGAATTTTAATTCCTAACAATTTTTACATATAAATTATGTTCTTTCAAAACAATTACATCGTGTCAGAAGTCTAAAAGGTGTTACCGTTGTGAACCTATACGATAATGATCTTGCGTACCGGATCATGGTATTGGTAAATTAGTTTCATAAAACCCCAATTAATTAAAAACTAGGCTGAAACAATACATAAGAAAACTCCATTTGTAGTTCACTTTTTATCATATAGAAAAGACAAACATTGAAAGTGATGATTTCATGTTTAAATCAACATATTTTTGTTTACGTTAGCATTTTTGTAACTCCACATTTGTTATCTTTGTTTTAATTTCGTGCTAGTTTTCTAGATGAACATAAGCTTCGATCGAATGAGAGAAGATTTTAACTATAATACATCAATAGAGACTATGCATTGCACATGATGAATATAATATAAAAAAATTATAATTATTTATTTTACAGTCATTTACGTATTATGAAATAAAAAAAAATTGAATCATTGAGAAGCGAGAGAATATTATGTACATAACTGAACTAGAGTAATTACATAAATCAAAGTAAATAAATCAAAGCTATTATTTTATTTACTTTATATGATATATAATTAGATTTAAATGATATTGACATAGATATCTAGTATATTTTAATATGAATATTTAATTGAAGCTTTTTAGTTCATATGCATATGATTTTATTTACATTTGTATATTTGATGTAACAAAAAAAAAATATTAATCACAAAATTTTTAGTGTGAGATTTTTTTATAGTTTTAGTAATTATAATCATTTTACAAGATTCAATGTAAATTTAAAAGTTAAAATATTTAGGTCACAATTCATTTTAATGAAATTTTTGAAATTAACATATATGTATTTTTATATAGTATATAGTTTAATTTAAACGATATTAAAGTATATATATAATCTGAATATCTATTAAATAATATTTCATAATCATATGATTTTATGATCTTTAGTATGTTTTTATAACAACAAAAAAAAGAGTAAAACCATTGTTCATTAAATTTTCATTGTAAGACTTTTAATAGTTTCAGTAATTTATAATCGTTTTTAAAAAATAAAATATAACCTATAAGAAAAAAATCTAAATATTTTATTATGTGCCTAATGTGATTGTTTGATTTTTTCAATAATATAAATTAAACAAAATGATAGAAGATACAAAAATTATTATCAAATTTTTTTTATTTAAAATAATTAATTGTCATATATATGTTAATCATATTAGTTAGTTCCATAGTTTTTACTTAAGGAAGAATGAAGAATATTTTATGCACTAGTAATCATTTTTATAATTTGTCTAATAAATAGTATATTATATATTTAGATGAACCAACATATTTTTTTAAGAATTCTGAAAATCATCATAGTGATAAGATGTGGTTACACTTAAATGTTTTAATGCTCCAAATTAATATAGAGGGGATTACTATTCACACAAGATAATCCCATTCCATCTTAATATGATTCTTATAATCTTCTAATCAATTTTTTTATATGTATGGAGGTAACAGATTGTTTTCCCCATATAGAGTTATAAGTACATATTTACGTTCAATGTAATATACTAATTTTTGTACCCTATAAATAAGAAGCTCAAACGACCAAAAGGAAAATCTCAAACGCTTCTAGTCAGATCAATGACGTCTAAGTTTCAGATCCTGTGTGTCTCGTCTCTATTTTTCTTCTTCCTAGCCGTCTCAAGTGCTCAGGCTAATGTATTTCACGGTGGAGAAAAGGTCTTTGACGTCAGAAACTACGGTGCTCGTGGCGACGGCAAAAGAGACAACGCTTTTGCGTTTAAAAAAGCGTGGAACGACGCTTGTCAATGGAGTGGTGGAAGATCAACGGTCTATATTCCCGCCGGAATATTCTATCTCAATCAAATAACGTTCACTGGTCCTTGCAAAAGTTATATTGCTTTTACAATCACTGGAACGTTGTTGGCTCCTCTGAGCCTTAGCGCCATCAGACAAGAAGAGTGGATCGCTTTCGAGTACGTCGATAACCTCACCGTTACCGGAGGGGGATTACTTGATGGTCAAGGATCTTACTCTTGGCGTCTCAATGATTGTAACAAAAACCCTAATTGTCCTGTTCTAGATATGAACATAGGGTTTCGGTTTGTTAGATCCTCGAGGATTAACGGTATAAGATCGCTCAACAGCAAAATGGGACACTTCAATTTATTCTCAGTCGAGAATTTTAACATTACCGGCGTCACCATCACTGCTCCCGGAGACAGCCCTAACACCGACGGAATCAAGATCGGGAGATCTAAGGATATGCATATTTCCAACGTCACTATCGGAACCGGTGACGATTGTATTGCAATTCTTGACGGAAATACCAACCTGGAAATCTCTAATGTCAGGTATATCTTAAGTAACACAACATATATGAAACTGTCTTAACCGTAAGATATATTCAAAAATATTAGGTCTAATGTTGATGTTCTGGTGATATTTCTCAACATCAGGTGCGGGCCAGGGCACGGGATTAGTGTAGGGAGCCTTGGGAGAAACAAAGATGAGAAGAACGTCGAGGGCTTAACCGTAAGAGACTCGGTATTCAATGGTACAAATAACGGTTTAAGGATCAAGACATGGGCTAAGTCGGTCTCACAGACTTTGCTTTCAAAATTCTTGTACGAAAATATCCAAATGATCAATGTTGGAAACCCTATCGTCATCGACCAGCAGTATTGTCCAAACGGTCTATGCGAAAGTAATGGAAAGTACAATTCTCATGTTCAGATCAAAGACGTCAAGTATAACAATATTTGGGGAACGTCGACGACTCGAGCGGCTTTGAACATACAGTGCAGTAAAACGTTTCCTTGTCAAGACGTTAAGCTATCAAATATCAACTTGGTGTACAAAGGACGCGACGGGTTAGTCACGGCTTTGTGTGAGAACGTTGGTGGTTCGGTTCTTGGAAAGATTGTGCCTGGTGATTGCCGGATTTGATGATCTAAACTAAAACTAGTCACGGCTTTGTGTGTTAGGTTTTGTTTTTTTTGTTTTAACTTAACTTTTAGGACTAGAGTTTTCTTTTGGTACACAAGTTGTCCTCGATGCAATACTGAAGCTAATCTAAAACCTAATAAACTCCAAATAAATTTATAAATTTGTGATGTTAAAGACGTCTGCGCTTTCTTGCAAGATATAATTTGTACTTTGTAGCTTGACCGACTTTTTCATATAATTACGTTATATTTTGATTTCATGAAAAAACTGTAATTATACATATATGTATTATTTGTTTTTTAAATTATGAGCTGTGTAATTTATATAATCTCACTGAAATTATATTAGGGGGTTACATCTATCTTATTATAACAATAATCCTTCCCATGGATCTAATCTTTTTTTTGTAAACTTTTAAATTAATTACATCATTTTACTATATAGTAAAATCCACGCAAATTAATTAAGAGTAAATTTCAGTTTTCCATTTAATATCATTATTCATGTTTACATTCTCTAAATGGACAGTTTAATAATTACTTAAGAAGGAGGTTTCATTAAGGAGGTAAAATACATTTATACTCTTACTTTATTAATATGAATAATTATTTAAATAAACAAGAAAAAATTCTTTTGTAGTTTTTGAGTTATACCTTTTCAAATTCAAACTTTTTTAATTTTTTTCTAATTTCTCTCTGAAATTTGAATTTTTTTTGAAATTACTTTTAAAATTTTTATTTAAATTTTTAAGAATTTATTCATACATTTATTAAAATTCTAAATTTCACCCTTCAAAACTCAATTCTTCAAATTTTAATTTTTATTTACCTCTTAGAAGTAAGAGTAAATGTGATTCATGTAAACATGACAAATTATATCATTAAAATAATAATTTAAGCGATTTCTCATTAATTAGTATTCTATGTATTATACTACTATTAAATGTGTTTCAAACTATATAATAATTAATCGGGAAAATTAAAGAAATCCACTCCAATAACATTATAATTTGAGATTATACAATTGTTTAAGTTTTTGAAAAAAATACACTTATGTATATATAAATCTATCAAATTACTCAATTTTAATATTCCTCAATTCCTAATATATTTATTTAAAAATTGTTCAAAAAAGATTTTGTTAGAGAATCTACATAATATCTTTTTAATATATCTAAGTAATATTTCTCATATTTTTAATATATATTAATTTTTTTATTATTTAAAGAAAATAAAAGAACACGCAGTCTCTCGTCTTCTCGTATCCTCTCTATTTCTGAAATTTATTTTTCTCTAGTTTCACAGATTTTTCTTTTCATCTCACGCAGTTTATATTGCTGCTTATATTCTATTCTAACAATAATCCTATTCTTATTTTCTTTTAGGAAAATCATATTATATTTGACTGAAGTCTTAGGAGAGTGGAAGATGAATAAATAATCATGTAAATTTATGTTGAATACAAGAGCATGAGGTAAACTATTTACCATTGAGGAAGGTTTTAAGTTTGACTATATGGTTCAGATGGTTCATGAAGATTTCGTAAAAATATGTTGGGAATGAGTTAGAACTTGTGAACAATGATAGCCAATTAGATTCTATGTGTGGAATGTGTAATTTATTTATTTTATATAAAGTTAGGAAAAAAGAATAAAATCTGTAAAACTTCATGATAAAATCAAAACAAAACATAATTTTTTTATTTTATAATATCTCTGTTATTATAAAATTTTAAGTTGTAAAATAATAATAATCTTATTAATTTCAAATTTATAACTTAATTATTGAAATTTCTAAAATTTTAAGAAAGTGTGTATTCAAAAAAAAGTTAATGTATTTTACATATTTCAAATCCTAAATAGGATATCTTGCAAATTATCCCTAATTAATTTTGTATCCAAACAATATATATATTAGGCACACCATTTTTAATATTTTTTATTTATTTCTTTTCAATTATAAAAAAAGATTTTCTTACTACGACAAATCATGTCAAATAAATAAGTGTGACTAATCACTAATCTAATCTCAGTAAAATGTCCGTCCCCTATCCTTATATTTTAATTTTATGATTCTTGTTTCCATTTTTTTCAATTCAATTAAGACAACACAATCCATCAAATGATACCTGAATCTCATATTTGGATAGATACTAATGACAATTGCATGTCATATTGGATAAGATACAACACCCATTTTAGGCTAAATTTATATTTCCTCTGACCTTTAATATATGTGACATTGAATGATACATACACATCCACATAATATAAAATAATAATAATAATAATAATAATTTCATGTGTAACTATAATCTGTATACAATAAGTGGCTTATGTGGCACGTATACAGTCCTACACTATGTTACATGGAAATGAAAATGGATACGCGGAAGCGGAACTATATAGAAGTACATAATCGAGTTTTTAAAAAAAAATAGGAAACGGATATGTCTTGGAAACATATATTCAATATATATATATATATAAATTTATAAAAAATTTAACTAAAAATTATATCATGCTAATTAAAATAAAGAGTGTATTCATTTATTATAAATTTTATATGCTTGCATATTATAATTGTGAAAATACAGATATATTAAGTTTATAAAAAGTTATTATCCAATTAATTATTTTTAATATTTTATAAATAATTGACACAATATTTTTGAATATATATGCTATAAATCTAATAAAAATAGTGCATAAAATATTTTATAGTATTAATTTTAGTATTTATATAATTTTATTCTCACTACTATTAATTTTTAGATTTTCTATAAAAACATGATTTTATATTTTATTTATTTATGATATTGTGTTTTTAAATGGAAATGTAATCTTTTAATGTGTTTTTTATACAGGTTATTTTAAAAACGTTATGAAAGCAAGATTCCGTAAGTTTCCACAAGGTTCTAATTTCGATTCCGGTTCCGAAGCAAGAAGCGGACATCCGATAATGTTTTCGTGCGATCTAGGTCTTACATAACGATCTTCGTTAACAAATATATTTAATTACTATTCATACAAAATAGTCTCGTTCCAACTTAAAAAGATTCTTATTTATCTTCTCATCATAACTTTTCTATATGTATGAGAGTAACAGATTCTGTTCTCCATATAGAATTTTTAAAAAAATTGTAAAGTTCCCCATATAGATTTAGTACATATTTTTACGTTTAATGTAATATTCTAATTTTTTGTACCCTATAAATAAGAAGCTCAAACTACCAAAACTAATATCTCAAACGCATCAGTTTGCTTCAGCTAATCAAAAGGTTAAAAAAGAAACAATAAGTCAGATCAATGGCGTCTAGGTTTCTCATCCTGTGTGTCTCATCTCTGTTTTTCTTCTTCTTCCTCGCCGTCTCAAGTGCTCAGACTAATGCATTTCAGGGTGGAGAAAAGGTCTTCGACGTCACAAACTACGGAGCTCGTGGCGACGGCAAAAAAGACAATGTTCTTGCGTTTACAAAAGCGTGGAAAGACGCTTGTCAATGGAGTGGTGGACGATCAAAGGTCTCTATTCCCGCCGGAATATTCTATCTCAAACAAGTAACGTTCGCTGGTCCATGCAAAAGTTTTATTACTTTTACAATCACAGGAACGTTGTTGGCTCCTCGAAGCCCTAATGCCATCAAACAAGAAGCATGGATTGTTTTCCAGAAAGTAGATAACCTCATCGTTACCGGAGGGGGGTTACTTGACGGTCAAGGATCTTACTCTTGGGGTAAAAATGATTGTAAAAAAACCGCTAATTGTCGTATTCTACCTACCAGCATTGGGTTTCGGTCTGTTAGATCCTCGAGGATTGACGGTCTAAGTTCTATCAACAGCAAAATGGTACACTTCAAGTTAGTCTCAGTCGATAATTTTAATATTACTGGCGTCACCATCACCGCTCCCAGAGACAGCCCTAATACCGATGGAATCAAGATCGGGAGATCTAAGGATGTGCATATTTCCAACGTCACTATCGGAACCGGTGACGATTGTATTGCCATTCTTTCCGGAAATACCAACTTGGACATCTCTAATGTCAGGTATATTAAGTATATTAATTAATTAACACAATATATGTGAAACTATCTTAACTATAAGATATATCAATATCCAAAAAAAAAAAAAGGTCCAAGAAATAGCTAGGCGATATTTAGACACTTTATAGTCGATATATTTAAATATTCCCAACGTATTTTCCGTTGGTCTCTGATAATGTATCTGAAGTCATTATGTTGATGTCTCAGGTGCGGACCAGGGCACGGAATTAGTGTTGGGAGCCTTGGGAAATACAAAGATGAAGAGAACGTCGAGGGCTTAACCGTAAGAGACTCGGTATTCAACGGTACAACAAACGGTTTAAGGATCAAGACATTTGCTAAGTCGGTCTCACAGATTTTGGTTTCGAAAATCTTGTACGAAAATATCCAAATGATCAATGTTAAAAACCCTATCGTTATCGACCAGAAGTATTGTCCAAACGGTCTATGCGATAGTCGTGGAAAGTACAATTCTCGTGTTCAGATCAAAGACGTCAAGTATAATAAAATTTGGGGAACTTCGACAAACCAAACGGCTTTGAGCATACAGTGTAGTAAAACCTTTCCTTGTCAAGACGTTGTGCTCTCAGACATCAACTTGGTGTACAGAGGACGCGACGGGTTAGTCACGTCTGTGTGTGAGAACATTGGTGGTTCGGTTCTTGGAAAGATCGTACCCAGTGATTGTCGGATTTGATGATCCCAAACTAGTCCTGTGTTAGTTTTAAGATTGTTTAGGACTAGAGTTTTCTTTTCGTACACAAATTGTCCTCGATGTATCACTGAAGCTAATGTAAAACCTAATAAACTCCAAATACATTTATAAATTCTTAAATACTCCTCAGAGGTTCCGATCCTTCCAAATCGTCTAGTAGATCCAGGGGAGTATGTTGCTTGAGATTCCAGTGGGTGGGAGACAGATTGCTGATCGAAAACGAACCACCACTGCCCCGAAGTTG